ATTACATTCAACATCATCACTTGATAAGACACCAGAGGTGTTGAAACAAAATGGCTATTTTTTGTAGTGATTTATGTTATAATTTTTAAATAAATAATAAGGACTGACTGGGTTCTATAGCCTTGAGGGGCAACTGGTCTAGGAAAAAGAAAAACACTGAATTCAAACAGGCCTGGAGAGGGTTGGCTCCATCAGGCTATCTTGCCCAAGAAACACCTTTTCTACTGTATATATGGTGCCCTACAACCCCAATGGGTCATGTGATTAATAATCATTATATATATATATATATATATATATATATATATATATATATATATATATATATATATATATATATAGATATACTCGTTCATTAGACTTTCTTTTTGCTCTACAGTTGTATTGAGCTCTTTTAGTTAGTTGTTTAATCATGTCAGTGTTTTTTCTTTGGGCTTTAAACCTGTATCTGTGCGATTTTTTTTTTTTTTTTTTTTTTTTTTTTTGACAGACTTTCATGTTTCTAGCTCTTTCTTTTTTTAAAACCTTTTTTTTTCCTTCGTGATTGATTTGATTATTGGCAATTCAAAAATTTGAAGGTTTTTTGAAACGAGTATAGTTACTTATATATATATGTGTGTGTGTGTGTGTATGTATAATTCCAAAGATTGGATAAGCAGCTCTAAAGAGTCTGCCTAATAGTAGCCTTCTGGCATAAAAGTGCTCCATGCCATAAAAATGACAGAGCATTTGAATATTAATTCAATAATCAGGTAGGCAATGACTGGCCACTACTTTAAGTTTCATATGTTTACACACAATCTTTAGGTAGCCATTAATATTTACTGACCTCCCCACGAGGTAAAATGTGGCACAAGGCCGAGTTTAATGTAGGGCAAATCTGAGCCCGTATAAACGGAATTGGGTCTGCCTCCCTCCTCAGACGTGACTCTGCCCTTTGGCAAAGCCTCGTCCAGGTTCCTCTCTGCCCGAAAGCAGAGAGTTCAACAACAGCTAAGAGCTGAGCACACAGCCACCTCCAGCTGCCTAACTACCTGAATCTTCAGGTAGCCAGTAATATTTACCAACCTCCCCATGAAGTAGGATGTGGCACAAGGCCGAATTTAATGTGAGGCAATACGAGCCTGTATGCTCGGCAAAAATTCCCCGTAGACCATGAATAAAGGGGGTTGGGGCTGTCTACCTCCCCAGATGAGACTCTGACCTTTGGCATAGCCTCATCCGGGTTCCTCTCTGCCTAAAGGCAGAGAAATCGACAACATCTAAGAGCTGAGCACATGGCCAGCTCCAGCTGCCTAACTACCTGAATCTTCAGGTAGCCAGTAACTTGCAGTAATAAGATGATTACCTTATATACAACTGGACGAGTACAATTTGACAAGCAAACCAAACTCGCACAGTGGTGAGGGTAGATCATCCAGCCAAGATCTAAAATGGCAAAAAAGAAAAAAAAAAAAAGAATCCAACTTGGAAAGGCTTGCCCCAGTATAGTAAAAATATATACAAGAATATTTTTAGCATTCATTAAACTTTCTTTAAGCCACGGTATTTATCAGTCTCCACCCCAATTTTTAAAATCATTTTAAAAGTATAGTCTTGTTTATAATATAATTGACATTGTGTAATGGTTCATAAGCTTATCTTGCTAGATATGACTGAGTAGTGAATTTGATCCTCACTTAGTGCTCCATTTTCCCGGCCTTGTACCACATCTAAGCTATGCTTAGTAAATCACTATTTAGGACACTTCCATGTGGTGTAACGATTAACAAGCTTGTCTGTCTTGATCAATCATGACTGAATAGTGAGTTTGATCCTCACTGGGTGCTCCATACTTTCGATCTTGTGCCACATCTAAGCTACACTTAGAAAATCACTCAGGGTTCTTCAATGTGGTGTAATTGTAAGCAAGCTTATCTCACTAGATCAATTACAAGTGAGTAGTGAGTTCGATCCTCACTGGCTGCCCCATGTTTTTGGCGTTATGCCACATCTAAGCTACACTTGGAAAATCATTTAGGGGACTTCATTATGCTGTCATTGTTAGCAAGCTTATCTCACTAGATCAATTACAACTGAATAGTGTGTTTGATCATCACTGGGTGCTCCATATTTTTGGCCTTGTGCCATATCTATGCTCTGCTAAGAAAATCGCCATAATATAATTACAGTATCCAATTGACCTGGTTTTCTTAAAATGTTATCCATGCTTTCTTTTTATTTAAAAATATTTAATTTGAACCGACTATGAATTTGATTGGGGAGACAACGTTAATACTACACAGTTATCAGTGATATTGGCTCAGTTTCACACTTGATATTTGTGAACTAAAACAAAGTGCGGATAAACACTTTTAGAAGTCAATTATCGATTTGACATTGTATTCATACTCTGAACAGGATCTGCCTTGTAAAATGATAAAAAGAATCATTGTTTTATTCTGAAAAATGTTGTGGGTAGTGGAAAATTTTTAACGAATGCAAATCTAAAAATATTATTCCTCCCACCATCCCCACTGAAATTTTTCCCTACTTTTTATGAACAGACCTGTCAATTTAAATAGTGCCAATAAAATAAGGACAAAAAAAAAAGAAAAAAAATATTCCATATAAGAAATAAAAAAAGCAAAATAAAAATGTATATTCTGTATAAATAAGAACACAATAAACAAAATGTTCTATATAAAAATAAAATAAACCGTATTCCATATACTGGGAGCTTAAAAAATCCAGGGGCAGGGGATACACCAATAAACACCTTTTCCTGTGTTCCTGATGCTAGCAGAGAAATTCCAACAAATTTCCTACAATTATACAGTAATTACCTCCCTTGATCGAATTGAAGCTCTCTAGCAAAGAAGAGGTCAAGAGTCACTGTTTACTGACAGTGTCTTATAAATATGGATGAATGGTAAATGCCTTTATTCCCATAAAGAGATGTCTATGACCAGAAAAAAAATATCGAGGAGAAAATGTGGTTATATGGAAATTTGTGAAAATTCTCTTATGGATTGAGAATAAATTGTGTTATGTGCTACAAACTGGCCTTTAGCTGTTTGATAATAAACGTGTTAGACAAAATATTTGTATGTGATGGAGGGTGTGTTATTTTCCTTTGGCTTGTTTGAATTATTATTTTTTTTTTTAAGAAAATATATTTTGTGCATGTAGATAGTGACCCTAAAGCAAATATGCATAAATGCATATAGAATTAATATTTTACACACACACACATTCATAGGTATTTATAAAGTAATAGATAACTGAGTATGTGAATAAATGTCTTTTATATACAGGGTGCGATGGGTAAATTGTCGTCTAAATTATGCAAAAGTGAAAATAACACTGACATCTCATTTTAACAGATATACATGGTGGGATGGATAAATTGTTGTCTAAATGATGCAAAAATGAAAATAATTTTAACAGATATACATTGTGCGATGGATAAATTGTCGTCTTGATTATGCAATAATGAAAATGACACTGACATCTCGTTTTAACAGATGTACATTGTGCGATGGATAAATTGTTTTCTAAATGATGCAAAAATTAAAACAACACTGACATCTCATTTTAACAAATACATTTACCAAAATGAAACAGTAATATCTTGAAATACTAAACAGTAAATTTATTCAATAAAATCACTTTTGACTTCAACCAGATGACTTTGGAACCCACTGCAACTTTTCTGAATAGTTTCTTTGTTTAAGATGGTGAATGCTGTCATAATCCTTGCCTTTAGTTTCATCTTTGGCGTTACACAGAGTTTTGTTGGTCTCTTTCTCAACTGCACCCCACATATAATAATCAAAGGGGCTTGCAGCAAAAAATTACCATCAATACATTTTGGAAAAAAGAGATATTACTAGCAATAAAAATTTTGTCGGCATTAATTAACCCATTGAGGTTGATATGTCGTAAAACAAAACAAACCAAACCATGAATAAGATTTTTTTTTTTCAATTTGAAAATTTTGTGCAAGAACTTACTAGACAAGAAATAATTCAGGGTGGATATGGGAACAATTATGAGGTGGTTCCATGCTCCTCAAAACCTACAATCTCCAGATCAGAAACCTTGCTGCCAGATGTAGTTTATCGTCATGCCCAGCACTAAAATGTAATGGTAGAGTAGAAGTTATTGTTACAAAATGTAAAACAGGCAAGCAGAGTTCAAATTCCAGCCGGTTCTGCTGTATTCATTTTCACACAAATTTCCATTGAAAAAGGCATGAATAGATTCCTTCTCCTCCCTAGCCTATGCAGTGTGGTGGTGGTTGTGGGGGGGCATTCAGAGTAAACTATCCTCACTAGCCTTGGGTGGTAACCTGACTAAGAAGACAATTGGAAGCCATTCCACTCTTTACGAAGAAGTCAAGGCGATTCACAGATAATAAGGAAAAATTGTTTGTGGAATGCAATGATCATGTACATGGAAAAAGAGTGCTCTGAATTCAAAACTATGGAGAAGGCAACTAACAAACACATCACTATCTTTCCCAAGAAGTCATGACTATACATAGATAAGAAAAAGGAAACTGTGGAGAGACATTATCATCTATACCTAAATAGATATGACATGGTACAAAAGGCCATCTTTATATGGTTTCAAAAACATATCAAATTCTTCCTATCCACTAATCTACAAACAACTTTCTAACATGAAACAAACAGTAACAGATTTGTTAACTGTTTATTTTTTAACAAATGAAACTAATTAAAAGAAATTCTCTAACCACATTACAGAAAGTAATAAAATAAAACATTAGTATAATAATGGTAATAGCTGTTTCCTTATAAGGAAACATTTGGCATTCATTGCCCTAGCAGACAACACTATTGTCTATTGAAATTTATAAAATTTTTCAATTAAAACAAATTTTCAGGGAAATAGATTTCTCAAGTTCAGTAACTGTTATTGATCTTTCTCGTTTCCATCTCCTGCCATCAGCTATGACTTTAAAGTATCAGGATAGACTAATTCCTTTCCTTTCCATGCTTTTTCCTTTCTTTCTTCTATCCTTTATCCTTTCTTTCTTCTGTCCTTTCTGTGCTTTTTCCTTTCTTTCTTCTGTCCTTTCTGTGCTTTTTCCTTTCTTTCTTCTGTCCTTTGAGTGCTTTTTCCTTTCTTTCTTCTGTCCTTTCTGTGCAATTTCCTTTCTTCTATCCTTTCTATGCTTTTTCCTTTCTTTCTTCTATGCTTTATCCTTTCTTTCTTCTGTCCTTTCTGTGCTTTTTCTTTCCTTTCTTCTATCCTTTCTATGCTTTTTCTTTCCTTTCTTCTATCCTTTCTATGCTTTTTCTTTCCTTTCTTCTATCCCTTTCTATGCTTTTTCTTTCCTTTCTTCTATCCCTTTCTATGCTTTTTCTTTCCTTTCTTCTATCCCTTTCTATGCTTTTTCTTTCCTTTCTTCTATCCCTTTCTATGCTTTTTCTTTCCTTTCTTCTATCCCTTTCTATGCTTTTTCTTTCCTTTCTTCTATCCCTTTCTATGCTTTTTCTTTCCTTTCTTCTATCCTTCCTATGCCTTTTCCTTTCTTCAACACTTTTTATGCTTTTTCTTTCTTTCTCCTATCGTTTTTATGTATTTTTCTTTTCTCTTTCCTTTCTACGCCATTTTTTCTCCAATCTTTTCTACACTTTTACCTTTCTACCTCATCAGTTCAGTTATGTGCCATGTCTGATACACGCTTAGGCGATACAGGACTGACGAGCCAGATTTTTTCCTGCATTTCTTTCTGCAGTAGACCAGTAGCCATTCAAGGTTATAGAACCCAGTCTGTCTTGCTATTTACCCATAGCTGGGGGAGAGAGAAGAAGAGGATTCTTACCTTTCCCAAGGGTGTTAACACGTAAGTGAATGTAATGAATTTGACTTGAATTCAAATTCGGCTCTCCGATTTCTCAATCTGAGCCGATATCATTTCTCCAACGAAGTACTTTGTCATAAACATTCAAAAAATACCTATATTCAATAGACACAAATACATTCTCTCTTTGTGTGGAAGCAAAGGAAAACAAAAATAAGGGGGAAATAAAGATAAATCTTGTCTTTTGTTTTTAATGAAACGTGTATAAAAAAATAAAAATAAAATAATAACGAGATACACAGATACATAGGACGTGGAAAAGGTTTTGACCCAGCCCTCTTGACCAAATGTCCAAAGATCATATATGGGAGGTGGGGGGGGATGACTTCTTTTCAGGCGCCCCGTGTGTGTGTGTGTAATATACACATGTGTATGGCACGCAGATATCTAAATAACTTTATTTGTATATATAAGATTGGGAGCTGATTGGATGTTCTTTATATATATATATATATATATATATATATAATGTGTGTATGCGCGTGAAGGAGGGAAATTAGGGGATGCTTTGTAGTGTGTGTGTGTGTGTTACAATTTTCTCCCTTCTTCTGCAGTATATGATTAAGATCAAACACACGTTCTGTTAAGGACTTCTTTATACATCTTAGTAGCAAAACATATGTTCCTGGGAAGTGGAACAAATTTTCCATGCTATAGAATGCAGAATAGGATGGGTGTCATTGGTAAATGCCCCAGGTAGGGGGAAAAGTCAGCAAAAAAAAAAAAAATCTCTTAATTAATTTCCCAAACTTTTGGGCCATTTTTTTTTCTTTTTTCTGATTAGGGCTAAGTTTATTCCTAAAGCACATGGTGGTGGTGGTGTGGAAAAGGAGGGCAAACTGTGAAAGTTGGGGGTAATATTGAAAATTGAGTGAGAAACATTGAAAACTAGTCAGACTAAAATGGGTTAGGATTAAGAGAACGAAAGAGAAGGTCAAGCAGACAGGGGGGTGCATGAAGAGGAAATTTCAAGAGAGGGGGAGGGTATATTGAGAAAAGGATGGGGTGTGGCTAATAATGATTTGGAATATAAAATAAGTGCTTTGTCTGTTATTTATAAAAAAAAGCGTAATATTCTTTTGCTTTTTAAGTGCCTTGTCTTTCATGACTCTCTACAGCTTCCTTTATGATTTGTGAACTGCAATAAATTCTTGGGGAAAGATAGTGGATTGATTTCCCCGATGTTTTCTCCAGTCTTGAATTCAGAATTGTTCCTCTGCTTGACCGGTTGTCACCCAAAGAAAATGGAATAGAAAGAAATACATGAAAATGAGGCAAAAGGAAATAGAAAAAAAAAGGCAAGTGCATAGAAGGGAGGAGAAAGAAAGGCGAACGCAGGAGAAGGAAAGCGAAAGCAGGGGTGGGAGAAGAAGAAAAGAAAGGAAAAAGCTTAGGAAAAAGAAGGAAAGGCAAAGGCATAGAAGCGGATGGAGAAAGAAAAGCGAAAACAGAAGAAAAGGCGAAAGCAGAAACAGGAGAAAGGAAGGAGAAGGAAAAACGTAAGCATAGGAAGTGGGGAGAAAAAAAAGGAAAGGCGAATTCAGAGGAAGGGGAAGAAGAAGAAGGGAAAGGCGAAATCATAGAAAGAAGAAAGAAAGGAAAACGGGAAAGAGAAAGAAAAGTGAAATCAGGAGAGGAAATGACAAAAACGGATAAAGGAAGGAGGAGGGAAGGCGAAAGCATAAGAAAGAGAAGGAAAGGCGAAAGCGTAGGAAAAAGAAGGAAAGACGAAAGCATAGGAAAGAGGAAGAAGAAAGGTGAAAGCATCGAAAGGGGTGAAAGAAATAAAGACAACATTGAATAAATTAATCTCCAATTTACCCTGCTACTTATAAACCATAACGGATTGAGTGAGGGAGATGGTTTTCATGACTTTCTTTAAGAGTATTAGTGCGAAAGTGAATGCAACAACCAAGGCAAAAATTTGAACATAGATCGCTGTTTCCATTTTCTGCACTGATAATCACTCCACTTTTAATATAAAGAGGGAAATGAAGAAAAAAAATGAAAAATTAAAAGCTAAGGTGAAAAAAGTGACATTTGAATAATGGAAAGGATAAATAAGGAATATCTGGGAAATTGTATGAAGTCGATAGAATGAAATCTAAAAAAATGGATGAAAAGATAAAGAAAGACATAAGACATTATTGGAGAGAGAGAGACGAAGAGAAGGAATTAGCAGAGAAAGAACTAAATGCAAAGCAGATGAGAAAGACCAAGGGAAGAGTGACAAAGAAAAAAAAAAGGAGAAATCAACAAATGATAGCGAGAAAGCAGGTTAAAAGTAGATAGATAGAGAGAGAGAGAGTAGAGTGCAAAGAAAAATGAAAGGGGATGTAAATTCTAGAAAGAAGGAAGAAAAGCAAAAAAAAGGACAAATGAGAAAAAAGAACGAGTTAAAAGAATGAGTAAAGGAGAGAACAAAGAAAGAAAAAAGCAAGCAAAGATAGGGGAGGAAAAAAGGAAAGATAGAAAAGCAGGAAGGAAAGAGGAGGAAAAGAACAAAGTAATGGACAAATAGGTAAAAAAAAAAAAAGAATGAGTAAAGGAGAGAACAAAGAAAGAAAAAAGGCAAGGAAAGTTGGCTGTGGGGGAGGAAAGACGAAAAAAAGGAAAGAAAGAAAAAGAGAGAGAGAGAGAGAAACGGACCATTCTTGTCCATGAAATTTTGGGAGCCTCAGTACACAATGTTTATTTGAAAGTTTTCTAATAAAACCATCTGTTTATTGTGAATTTCTCTGTTCTATTTACATTTGCCATCACCCTCAGCCCTATAATAGTTCTCCACCTTTATCTCTCAGTAGATTTGGGAAGAGAGAGAGATGGGGAGATATATATTGCATAAGACACGGGCAAAAAGATCGTGTTGGGCGTTCATCTCTTCATAAACTTGAGAGAGAGAATCAATGGAAAACAAATAAGAAATAGAGAATTAATTTTTGTTTTGTTTCTTTCTTTTTAAGCTGATTTATAATGTGACGGAAATACCATCAGACTTAGATATGAACAGACTGGGATAGACAGCATAGTGATATATATATACCTGAGTTTTTAGCGTTGTGCAATCCTCGGGCCACGAGGATTGCATCTAGCATGAAACAGCCTGTCGCCTCTAAGTGTTGACTTTTATGTTCACTTTTATATTTACACACGCTCTATCTCTGATATTGAGCACCTTATCCCATAAATATAGCACATCTTAAGACTATATTTCTTCATATATATATATATATATATATATAAAGATATTGAACATTTAGCTAAAAATTGAACACTTAGATAGATAGGTAGATATTGAACATTTAGATAGGAATGGATAGATAGATATGAACAGATCTTTCTTAATCATTTACCCCATGCAAGGCAATAAAGCCATTAAGACGCAAGAGTTACTGAATGTTAATTATTCTTTGCTTTTTATGAAGACTTTCTAAATACATAGCAACAGCACCAGACATGATAGATGGTCAGGAATATAGATAAATAGATTGCGTAAACACATCGCCTTCTCTAATTGTAGGGAGGCTGAAATCAAGACGAACGTGATTCGCATCCTCTTTGCGTTTATACAGATTTTGCTCTTTCGAAGACGTGGATGTGCGGGTGGTGTAATGGATAGCGACTCGTAATGGGAAATCGTAAAGCGGAGTTCGAATTCCAGTCGGGCTTGTTATATTCACTTACACTTAAATAACCTTGGGAAGGTTATTAATCCATACATTCTCCCCCACCCCCTCCAGCTATGGGTAGAATAGTATCGATTGAATAGAATTGTATCTGGAAAAATTATTACTTTATTTACTCGCAAAAAAGAATTTTCTCTTAAAATCGAAAATAAGTTGATGAGCAAAAACAAATCAGTTTTGTGAAGACGTTGGTTCATCCACAAAACATGTCTGTCTAAAATTTGCAGATTTTATATGAGTATGCTCTAGGATTCTCGTTCAATGCTCTTCCTTGAGATGTACACACACACACACACACACACACATATATATAGTTTTAAGGTATGCTATATTTATGAGTTCATGTGCTTGATATCAGGAACAGAGCGTATGTTAATATAAAAATGGACATTGAGGTCAAAAGCCAGCGGCTTCAGTCTGTTTCATGCTTAATCAAATGCGGCGACAGTCTGCTCCATGCTTAAACGCATTCGGCGACAGCCTTTCATGCTTAAAGGCATGCGGTGACAGTCTGTTTCATACTTAAAGGCATGGGCGACAGTCTGTTTCATGCTTAAACGCATGTGGCGAGAGATTGTTTCATGCTTAAAGGCATGCGGTGCCAGTCTGTTTCATACATAAACGCATGCGGCGACAGTCTGTTTCATGCTTAAACGCATGCAGCGACAGTCTGTTTCATGCTTAAACGCATGCGGCGACAGTCAGTTTCATGCTTAAACGCATGCGGCGACAGTCAGTTTCATGCTTCAACGCATGCGGCGACAGTCTGTTTCATGCTTAAATGCAGTCGTCATGCGTTTAATCTGTCGTAGCTGTGTGTTGGCCTCAATGGCCACACACATACTCTCTCTCTCTCTCACGTGCGAGCACATATTATTATTATTATTATACACGTTATATTTAGTAGATAAGCAGGGGATATATATATATATATATATATATATATTTTCATCATCAAGCCTAGGTTTTTGAGCGTTTGTAATGCCCTTCGATAGGGTTCTCTTTCAGAATGTCTGATGAAGCTGACAATAATAGCGAAACTTGTCACATTTATAAAAAAAACTTTCTTCTTACGTCTTATTTAATCATATGTTAATGGTAATAAAGGAAACGTTAGGCATTCAGTGACTGAAATGTTAGCGTTACTTCCAGTTGGAATTTTTAAAATCTTTCCCCTAACACATCTCAAGTCCAGTATCTGTCATCGCACTTTCTAGTATTAACGGGAGTTTCTTTTCTAACCTTTTGTTTGAGGTTATGTGGAAAGTCAACATCTTGATTTTATATAACGTTAACAATTGTTTCAATAATCTGAAACACACAAACACACACACTTATATATGTATTCTGGTGTGTGGGTGGGTGCGTTTTCTTTCAGCTGAAGGACAATTGAGTATATCTTGAAGCTATTTTCTTACATTATTAATCAGACAAAATTTTCTAATAACTTTATTACACGACTGAGAGTAATTTTTCCCACTCTCCAACCATATTTTTCTTTGTTGCTTTCCACCTGGTCATTTTTACCTCGCTTGTTTTTGTGATTTAAAAAAAAATACCTATTTTATCTGAGGCAGATTAATGAATTTTAGCAAAGATTGTGTTCCATATAAGCTTTGAGAATTAAAAAAAAAATGATTACATGTCAAAAAAAAAAAAAAAAAAAAAAAAACCTGTACGAGTGTGCATATTGTTTACACGTTTATTTTACTTTACCTCTTTAGAAATAGGAAAAATGGGGAGGAGAAAGTACAGTCTAGTCGCCATGATTGTGGGGAGGGGCCTGATGGATGCCCACACCCTCTACACTCATAGAAAGATCATTTCTAATACCTTTTGTAAAGATATTGCAAATTCTTCCAAACCCCAAACCACCACCCCCACAAAAAAGCACAGGCGGTGGGACTGAGAAAGTAGTTTAGCATTTAAAGTTAAGGAGAGAAAAGAAGGAAAAGAAAAAGCTAGATTGGACAAAGGAATTAAAAAAAAAATAATACAGTGTGGGGAAAAAAAAAATGTATGATATATATATATATATATATATATATATATATATATAAATAAACCTAAAGATCTAGGTAAACCTACCTAGGTTTCACCTAAACGGATCGTCAGGGTAAAACTGATTCACCTCAATTTCATGTTCTTAGTTATTTCTTTTTTTATTCCGAAATACCCAAGGTTTTTCCAAGCGAGTACCATTTATATATATATATATAACCCCACAAATCAGGCCCTACCTACATTTCTCACCCACACATACATGCTTGTGGAGGTGTTGAGGCCTCACACTTATACACATACCCATACTAATATACACACTTACACACATCATACTCACTCACCCCCGGAAGAACTAAATGATAACACACACTTAACACAGACACATTCCCTTTCCAGAAACCAATAAAACTGTCAAAATGACCAAGGGAATTCAGAGCAGAATGAATTTATCTTAAATAACAAGGACTGGCCAACATTTATGGTAAAAAAATAAAAACAAATGAGAACTACAGATAATTTACATTATATATATATATATATATATATATATATATATATATATATAGGGTTCTCCCGTCGTTTTCGACGTATGAGAGTGAAGCTCCTCAGTTCTTAGACAGCCAGACTACCAGCTCATAGCATTTGATTATAGAGGTGAAGGCTTGTGCAGAACCAACCACACTTTTTGGAAGAGCTGAACCGAATACAGAGAATTTGTGCGCATTATGTCACAAGATCACCAAACGATCCTCCACTGCCGGTTTTGAATTCAGAGTTGTCCTTCTCATTCTCCTGCTATTTTCCCATAGCTGGAAACGGGGTGCAAAGATGGGTTCATACCTTTACCAAGAGTATTAGCGCGTAAGTGAATGTAATGAATTCGACTCTCCGATTCCTCAATGTGAGACACTATTCATTACTCCAATGTGCCCCTTGAATATATATATATATATATATATATATATATATATATATATATATATATACAAAACAAATCGAAGACTTCAGAAAGCCAAGGTAATATTTTATTCCGCGAGAGAGATAAAGTTCGATTTCGCTTCGTCAGACCTTGTTAAT